TTGCACCCCCGGCTCTGGGTTCAAGGGGGGCATCAGCCAGGCAAGCTGGCTGGACTGGGGGGGAGCCTCCTCCGAGCCTTCAGCCTGGGCAGGAGGGAGCGCAGGCCGAGGAAGGGGCAGCCGCCTCTCTTTCAGCTGGGGAGTGGGGCCCACCTGCGACGGGCCCCCCCTGGCCTCCCAGGCCTGCCACCGCCACCACCACCAGCCGGCCCCTGGCTCAGGAGGCCAAAGGCCCCCTTCCCCATTCCGCTTGGCAGCCCCTTAGGGACACCACAGAGCCCAGCCCCACCAAGTGGGCAGCCCTCCCCACAGCCTCTGGGCCGGGAAGAGACATGGCCACCGGCGCCCCAGGGCGGGCACAGCCATGGCCTCACACTGGGAACACGGTCCTCTTTTGGACGGAGAGCGGAGTGCCATGGGAGCAGACGGTGGGTCACCTAGATTCTGGGGGGCTGGCGCCCCACTTGGTGGAAGAAACCAGTCCCTCCGAGGCCGGGACTGCAGTTGGGCGCTTCTCCCCTGGCACAGCCCTGGCACCATCCCCGATGCCCTCCTCAGCATCCCACCCAGAGTTAGGCCTGGTGGGGGAGAGAACAGGCAGCCTGGGGGCCCCCAACCCCAACCTAGCCCCCCCTTCTTTGTGGGAGACGGAGCCTCCATGGGAAGCATCTTCTGCTAGAGAGAGGTGGGGGGAGCCATCCCACACTGGCCCCTTCTCCCCTTCATCTTTCCGCAGAGAGACCCCCTTGCCCCTACACTGGGGGAGCTTCCGCCCCAGCCTGGCGGATGACCCACATGAGCTGCCTGCCAGCGTCCCATCCCCTGGGGAGCCCTTCACCCCCCTGCCCAGGAGCCCAGCCTGGCACTCAGCAGGGCAGCCTTCCAGGGAGGACCAGGGCCCCCTCCACCCTTCCGTGGGGCACCCAGCGGTTGTGGGCGCTGCCCCCTCCCCAGTGGGCATCTTGCCTGAAAGCTCTTCAGCAGCTCCCAGCAAAGAAGGGGCACCTCGGGACGCTTCCGCAAAGCCAGCAGGTCCTGGAGCGCTGACCCCTAGGACACCCCCCAGGCCGACTCCAGGGGCAGCCTTTGCCATTGTGGCCCCCCCTCTGACACAGACCACGACCACTTGGGGAGGAGGCTTGAGGACGGTTGCCACCGACTCTGCGAAGAGCCCCCGCCCAGAGACAGCTACGGAAGGTGCCACGTGGCAGGCCCGGGAAAGCCCTGGGAGCAGGGGGGCAGCCACAGAGACAGCTGAGCCCCCCAGCAGTGGGAGCCCCTGGAGGGAGGGAGGCTCTCCTGGCCAGCCCCCCGCCCCGGCTGGGCCCCCAGCAAGCTCAGCCGAGGCCACCTCCTCGGCCACGAGCCTTGTTCTGAGTGCGGACCGCTCCAGCCCTCCGGAGTTTCGCTCCGAACGCCTCGCCTTCTCGGATCCACCCTCCGAAACCGTGGCAGCTCTCACCCGGGCCACGGGAGGAACTGTGGCAGCACCCAATCTGCCCTCCTCAGCCCGCCACCACGCGTGGACTTCTTCAGCCAGGACGTGGAGCTGGGAGGGTGGAGACCCGCCCCGGCACCCCACGGAAAGCCTCCGGAAGGAAAAGATCCAGCAAAGCCCAGGAGCTGCCCAAACCACGGTGGCCCTCCTGAGTGTGTCCCCCTCGGGCAGCAGCGGAAGCAGAAGCAGGGGCCACCCGTGGCCACCCAAGCCGACCCCTGAGCAGGGCAGCAGAAGAGAGGGGCCACAGCGTGCCACCACCTGGCTGTCGGCAGCCGGGCCGGAGGAGGCCACCCCCCAGCTGTGGCCGGCCACGCCAAGGGAGGGGCACCCCAGAGGCCACTCCGTCTTTGTCGTGGAGAACCAGCCGCCCCTCCTCAAAGGTCAGCAGGGTGGCGGCACCGGCCACGTGCCCAGGAGGGGAGGGTGGAACCCCTCTCGCCGGGTGGAGGGCCACCCCAGGGCGGGGGTGGGGAGTGGACAGACCCCTGCAGGGGAAGGAGGGATCCTTGTGCGGCAGGGAAAGGCCCCCCCCTCCTGCCGACTGGTGAAGAAGTGGCTCATGTGCATGAAATGGGTGGGTCCGCCCCGGTCCCTGCCTGTCCTTCGGGTCCTGCAACAATGGCATTGCTGCGCTGCAGGCCCAATGTTCCTCCCCTTCTCTGACCCCTGGGGTCTGTTCTCTCTGTGTGTGTCCCCCCCCCACACCCCCCAAAGCCGCTTTCCTGCACATCCCTTGTGAGCTGGTCCTGGCCATGGAGTTCTCCAGGAGCCTTCAGGACCCCGAGTCGCCCGAATACCGGAGCTTAGCGTGCAGCATCAACGAAACGGTGAGGTGGAAGATGGCAAGCAAAGTGGGAGGTGGGAGGCGAGCTGCCCACAGGCGGGCCCTGCCTGGAGATCCAGGATCGCTTCCTCCGGGGGGGGGGGCAATTTCTGCCAGCAAGAAGGGATATAAAGCCCCGCTTGGCAGAACAATCTGGAAGGGGGGGGGGAAGATGCCTTGTGCTCCTCCTGGTGGGGTCACTCTTGGGCTCCCTCCGCCTCCGATGCGCTCCTGCTGGTGGTGGAGCCTTGTAACCCCCAAATGGCCCCATAGCCCCGACTGCCCACCCGGGGAGAGCCTCTGGTGCCCTTGTCTAGGGTCCATGTTGCCAAAGAGCGAGGGATCCGTGTGGGTCACCTTGTGAACAACCCTGGAGGCGGGGTGGCCATCTGGACAGGCCATCTCACAATTCCTCTCTTCCTCTCCAGGTCACCCCGCTCTTTGCTTCTCTGCCTGGATTCCAGCGCCTTGAGGTCAAGGCCATCCGGTATCTGTTTTATTTCTCCTTCTGGGTTTTCTGTTCAGCTGTTCCTCCAGGGCTCTGGAAGGCTGAGAGCAGCCAATGCAGTGATGCTTCTGATAGAAAGAACGCCCAGAGGAATCTTTTCTCAGCTGTAGTTAGTATTAGCACTGGTGGAGCTCCCCCCTCCAAAATAGTGCCCCCCCCTTTTTAAGGGGTGACAATCAGTAGCCACCCTTTCAAGTTCTGCTTCAAGGCTATTTCTCAGCCAGCCGGTCCAAAGTGGCCCTTTGGGGATGCTGGGTCGGAAGCCGCGGCTGCATTCTGGCGCTCGCCCGAGGCCGGTCCAGCTGGGCGGCGGTGGTGGTGGTGGCGGTGGCGCTTTCCCCTGTGGGCCCTCGGCCACCCTTCTCCTCCTGCCTTTCCTCCGCAGGTCAGGGGGTGTGGTGGTCGTGGTGGAGTTCGACGCCCTGTTCCGGCCCCAGGTGCCAGGGTTGTGGGCGGCTCTGCGCCGGTCACCTCTCTCGGAGCGGCTGCCGCCAGGACTGTGGGTGGCCAACGCCAGCGTGCTGCGAAGTGCGACCCAGGGTGAGGAGGATGCCTCTCCGTCGCGCAGGGTGCTGTCCTTGGGGCCCCTTGCCTGCTCCCCCCCCCCAACGTGCCTCTCGGGCTGGAAAGGAAGGCAACCAGCTGGACACTGGAACACCGGGGGGCTGGCGGGGGGAGGCGGCGAGGGCCCCCAAGAGTGGGGAGAGGGCCCTGTGGCCGCTCTCGGCTCACGTCCGCTCCCTGCGTTCCACAGAGAGGCGCCTGGACCCGTGTGCCGTGCTCTTCTCCTGCCACGCTGGCTACGAGTGCCTTGCCGAGGAGGACGGGGGCGCCCGCTGCGTCTCCCTCTGCCACCGGGACTATTGCAAGAACCAGGGCATCTGCACTGGCCAACCACAGCGTGCTGCGAAGTGCGACCCAGGGTGAGGAGGATGCCTCTCCGTCGCGCAGGGTGCTGTCCTTGGGGCCCCTTGCCTGCTCCCCCCCCCCAACGTGCCTCTCGGGCTGGAAAGGAAGGCAACCAGCTGGACACTGGAACACCGGGGGGCTGGCGGGGGGAGGCGGCGAGGGCCCCCAAGAGTGGGGAGAGGGCCCTGTGGCCGCTCTCGGCTCACGTCCGCTCCCTGCGTTCCACAGAGAGGCGCCTGGACCCGTGTGCCGTGCTCTTCTCCTGCCACGCTGGCTACGAGTGCCTTGCCGAGGAGGACGGGGGCGCCCGCTGCGTCTCCCTCTGCCACCGGGACTATTGCAAGAACCAGGGCATCTGCACCCACGTGGCCAACCACACCCCCGTCTGCCAGTGAGTGCCCTGCTCCGTGAGCCCTGCTCTTGCCCGCCCGCTCTCCCGGCCTGTGTGTGTCTCTCTGTGCGCTTGTGTGTGTTGCCGAAGGCCCCCGCGCCCTGCCTGACTCCCCTTCCCGTTGGCTCCTCAGGTGCCCCGTGGGCCACGACTTCTGGTTTCTGGGGGTCCACTGCGATTACAAAGTGACCCAGCAGGGCTTGCTGGGGGTCGCCGGCGGCTTGCTGCTCAGCCTGGTAGTGCTCGGCGGGGTCGTGGCTGGCCTGGTGATGCGCCGGGTCCGGCTGCTGTTGCTGGAAGCCAGAGCCGACCAGACCAAGAGCAGGTGAGCTTCTGGGCCCCCTTTTCGGTTTCCTTTTACGCCAAGCAAGGGGACCAAGGGCCTGGAGGAAGGGGGTTTTTTTGCTTTTGGGCTCCTGCTGGACTTTTGGGGGATTCCAGGCAGAGAAAGGATCCCCCCCCTTTTGTTTGTTTGAGAATGTCCAGTCCATTTAAACTGTGGTACTCATTGCCACAAGAATAGTGAAGGCACAAATGCTTACCATCAGGAATCACAAGGGTCATCCCTGGAGTTGAAAAGTGCCGGATTCCTGGCAGAGAAAGGATTCCCCCCCTTTTGTTTGTTTGTTTGCAGAATGTCCATTTAAACTGTGGTACTCATTGCCACAAGAATAGTGAGGTCTGCCAGCTCAGGTAGCTTGAAAGGGGAGACCAGATAAGCGCACCAAGGCTAGGTATCCCGCTGCCTTTGACTTGCTGGAGGGCAGGGGGACAAGAGACGGAAAGGGCAACACGGCTCTCACATCTGGCTGGTGGGCTTCCAGGCGGCGACAACGTTCTGGCTAGCGTGCGGAGAAGGTGGGGCTGGGCGGGCCTTTGGTCCGGCTTGGCTTCAGGGCTCTTTGGTTCTAGCTGGATCGGTTCGAGGGCCTCTCTGCACCCCTCGTTCTTCCCACCACCAGCCAGTGTCGCTTCTGGAGTGAATGGGAAGCAGCCCCTTTCAGGATCCGAGGAGGGGCAGCCTTCGTGTGTTGTCACATCCCCCCCCCCCGGTTGCTTAATATTAAAAATGAACTCTCCGGTTGGGGCTGGGCTGGGGAAGGGCCTCCCTCTGAGCCGAGGGTCCCATTTCCTCCTGGGGGGGGAATGTGTTTGTGTTGGCCAGGCTCCAGGGGAAATGTCGGGTGGGGTGCCTGGTCTCATGCAGCAGGAAGGGCGGGCTTGTGCCAGGACTGAGTGGGGGATGCGGGGAGAGGAGGGTGACAGGGCAGGTCTGGATCCAGCACTCGGCTGCAGAGCCAGCCCTCGATGGCCCCGGCTTTCACGCCAGAGAGGCAGGCAGCTGAGAACAGCAGCGGTGATGGTCCAGGTCTTTCTACGGCCCCTCCGAGCAGAGGGGGAAAGAGTGTGTGGCCCCTCAGTGCCACGGAGGATTTATGTGTTAGATTTATACCTCGGTATTTCCTTCCCTGAGGCATCCAGGGCCAGGGTTCCGGCCCTCGGCTTATTCGCTGAAAAGGAGTGTCTGCCTACCTGTGCTTCAATGTACGGTTCGTTTGCCCGTCAGTGAGCGTTCAAACTCCTCTTAAACATTACCTTTGTATCTGCGGCTGTGTTGCAACATCTCTGGGGACAGTTCATAGAACTGTTTGCTGCTCAAGTGAAACTCATTCTGCTTTTAAGGTCAATCATTCACAGGACCATCTGCGGCACTCTAAGCGCGCGCGCGCCCCCCACGCTACTTTAGGATGCTGTGGGATCCCTGGCCATTTCCCCACGGGTCACTCACTACTGATCACAAGCCCCTCTTGTGAGAAAGCAGGAAGCCCCCTTGAAAGCCTGCAGGAGCCTCTGGACCGGCTGTGAAAAGCCAGACGCCCTGGCCGAAGGAAGCGGGCTGACCCCAAGGCGAAGCGGGGAAGGGTCTCCCCTCGGAGGCATTTCATGCTGAGCTGGGCCAGCATTGCAGGCATTGGCAGAGAGGAAAGGGCAAGTCCAGACCCGGCGGGCAGAGGCCTGCCTCGTCTGTCCAGCCCTGGAGAGGAGAAGGGACCCTCGGGGTCGACACTCGGGGGGGGGGCTGGTTCAACTTGGCAGGATCCGGGCGGTGGGGCTGAGGGCACTTGGTTTGCCTTCCAGCGTTCTCCTCTCTCTCTCTCTCAATCCAGCTACCGGCGCTTCTGCCGGCTGGACGATGTCTCGGCCCACTACTGGTCGGAGCCCTGGCTGGCCTCCACCACCTCCCTGGACAACCCAGCCTTCAGCAACTCTGAGGAGCTGCTTCACCTCCAGATCCTGGAGCCCGCCTGCTATGGCTGCCAGGAGGACTGCGGGGCGCCTGACCACTGCTGCAGACGGACTCCGGACGCACCTCGTGGCATCTGCGCTGCTGGGCAGCCGAGGTACCTGGCTTTGCAAAGGGGGGCGAGCGGTGGCGTGGGCGACTGGCAGCAGCAGGAGAGTTTGGGGCTTCTCCTCCCCAACCGAGAAGGGGGGCGCGGGCGCCCTTATCCTGCAGGCTCCGCTAACTCTTCCTTCTTCCCCAGGCAGGAGAAGAGAACACTGCTTAAACGGGGAGGCGGGCAGGTGGCATGGCCTTCTGCCCAAGGAAAGTGATGCCAACTCTTGTCCTTCTTCCGCCCCAGGCTTGCTCTGCTGGGCAGTGGAGGGAGAGTGGGATGCGGGGGCAGCGGGTGTGTGTGTGTGTGTGTGTTAAACCTTCCTGCTTGCGTCTCAAAGGCAGGTGGTATTGGGAGGGGTGGAATGGGTCCCTGCTGACCCACCTGCTCTTGGGGCCTCATTGGGGTTATTTTCGACAGGCACCCACCTGGCCTCTTGATACTCCCCCTGCTTTGCCTCTGTTCCCCTCAACTAGCAGCCGTTCCCCCAGGTTTTGGGAAGGTGTCCTCCCCATCCCCAGCCTCAAGCAGGCCCCAAGTGGCTGTGGAAAGGGGCTCCCCCCAACTGCCCGTTAGTGGAGCTCTCTGACCAGGCTGGACAATTGGCTCCAGCCCCAGAAGGGTAGGGAGGTGCCCTTTGCACCAAGGGGGAGGGAGTCCAGCTCCACTCCCCTCGCCTTCTGCAAAAGAGCAGGCTGTGTGTGTGGGGGGGGGACAGGGATGAAGGGCAGGGCAGGGAGGGGAAGGATGGCTCTGCGGACTGAGGAGGAGGGGGCTGGGAGAGGTCAGGGAACCTGGTCCAGACAGACCCACACCTCCACAAGGCTGGGGCTGGGAATGCCTCTGCTGTGGGGCCAAAGGTCAGCCCTGGCCCAGGGCCAAGCGGCCAGAGAGCCGGCCAACACTTATCGGGTGCCAAGAAATTTCCCATGCTCGGCTCGTTTGGAGCCACCGGAAAGCTTTGCTCTCCCAACCGGAGGGCTTTAACCTCCCATCCAGGGTGGAAAGAGGAACTCCGAGGAATGAAACACTGCCTGGAAAAAGCAGATAAGCTGCTCCTGGAACAACAAAACTGAGGGCTGGAGCGCCCAGTGCTGCTGTTTTTATCATCTTCTCGGGTTTTGCTTCCGTTGACCGGCAGAGATTCCACCCAGTTGGTCCTTGTCTCCCACTCAAGGGTTGGCCGTGGAGGGCCTGCCGCTTACATGGGGGGGGGGAGACCGCTCCTCTCCCACATGCTGGGG